GCCCAAGACTTCACAGGCCTAGGTCAGTCCGGTAATGCAAACAACCGAATAAGGACATAAAGGACATTTTGATACCTGAAGAGTAAACATTAAACAAATGAAATTTAATAGATAATGTTTGCTGTTTACATTATAAACCCGGGAACAGCAAGGTAGAGGCTTAAAAATTTCTATCGAACCCCTGGACAACATTTCAGAGGGGAAAAAAAAAGCATCAATTTACATGATGGACCATTTCTATTATACTAAATTCATCCGATCTTTTTCAGGGTACATGAATGATTGTATAACTTTAATCAGTATATACACATTATTTGGGGTTCTACTTTTTACTTACCGTGATTTGATATACCTGTTGACAGGCATCCATTAGTTCCCATAATGATCATTTAAAAAAAAAACAACACCAAACATATAAAGTCAGTGCTTTCTGGCGTTTGCCAGGTGCTTTATCTGCATCATTGCATTTAATACTCACAACTATCCTAGGAGAGCAACCCCCAATTTACAGAGACGGTGAGCCATAGAGTATTGCATGAAATAGACAGAAGGGAGTGTTCTTAACTGTTTCCCTGTGGTGGGGCACTTGGCACGCTTCCAGGGTGTGGCTGATCTGAAAAGTGCTGCTATAAACGTCTTTGCACAAATCGCATGTCACGATCTCCGGGACTATTTTGAGCAAGGGCATTTGTGGGAAGCAGATGAAAGAAAAGCCCTGGAATTTTCACTTCTCCCGGGGCAGGTGCTCTGATTTGAGACTGGCTCTCGACATTCTGCAGTGAGGAAGTAACACAGCTGCGGGTGGCTGGGTGATCTTGGGGAAGGTCTGCGCCTTGGTCTCTCTCTTGCTTGTTGTTTTTTTTTTTTTAAAATGTGGTCCTTGGACCAGCAGTGGCTGCAAGCTCATAGAATCACAGGATCTCAGGCCCTTGCTAGAACCTACTGAATCAGGATCTGTATTTCACGTCAACAGGATTTCCGGGAGGTGGTTCACGAGCACACTGAAAGTTGGAGAAAGCATGTCTTAGAGTACTTACCTGCTGCTGATCGGGCTCATAAAGGAATTCCTCGGAAGGTCGTCGTGAGGACTTAATGTGTTAATACATATACATGAAGCATGCCAGGCACATGGTGAGCGCTATGTGTTGGCTGCTGTTATGATTCTTCCTTGCTGGCTGAGCAAATTCTCCTGCTAGCTGGTCCCTACATAGAGGGCCTTAAAGGAAACAAACAGGGAAGATTCCCCCTGGTGGTGCGGATGGTGGGAGATAGCCTGGCAATGCACTTTCTCATCAAGATCAAAGTTCTGAAGAAGAGCCAGGTGCAGCTCGGGAGAGCTGAGGAGAGAGTCTGAAAGTGCTTCGGGCAGGAACGGGGACAGGGTGGCAGCCTGGTAAGAAAGATCTGATACTTTCTGGCACCTGAGCAGCTATAGGATGGGGGTGGCCCGCCATGCCATCTATGGGAGGGCTTGTGACCAATGCACATGGAGTCCTGACCCCACAGAGAGAACAGTCCCTTAGATTTGCAAGCTGATTGCCCATCAGCCTGCAGATGAGGTGAATCTGCCCAGATCTCCCTGGGAGCAGGGCCGGCCTCTCCTACACACCGGGTCGGGTAGGGTGGGGTGGGGGTGTGTATGGGGAAGCGTGGGGCTGATGGACCTGCTAGGATTGAGAAACTGAGAGCAGAGGTGGAGGGGTGACTTCTTCCCCAAATCCTCTGTTTGGTGACACTTTATTCATCCTTTGAGGCCCTGGTTTATTTT